ACCCAGAAAGATCCCAGGTGTCCTAACCAGGAGGCAAACCGGGGATCTTCTTGCTGCCCAGGTTCACATTGATTTGCATATTAAACCAGTAGCACCTCCTTCTTTGTTCTCATCCACCAAACGAATTGAAATATCACTTAATATCTTTCACAATTCTAAGTGTAGCCCTGTGATAGACTGGCAACCTGTCCAGGTGAACCTGCCTTCACCCTGAGTCGGCTGGGATAGACTCCAGCCCCCCACGACCCTAGTGAGGATTAAGAGCTGTACAGATAATGGACAGATGGATCTTTCATAATACCTTTCATGTTTATTGAGGAACCTTCAGTGGGGCAACATCCGAAAAGGGATTTTGGACGAGTGGATATTTACTGTGGCTTCCCCATTTCATCATTCGTGTCAGATAAGAGGACATATTAAGTAATTATTCTAGGGTATAATTTACAGATCATGCTGATCTGAACCCAAATAAATGATCAAGTCTTTTTATTAATGACTCTTTTTAACCATGACAGCCCTGCTGTGTTTTCAGAGAACAATCCTGCATCCAAAGCTGGTTTGTCAAAACCGGCTTAAGTGGTTAAACGCCCTCAAGCTTTGTCATGATGCATCACTTTTCTTTTTTGTTTGTCCCGTTGGTCCTGTTGGTCTTCATGCTTTGGTCTGTGCCTTTACTTCAGTTAGAAAATCTCATCGTACTGGAGTAGAGAATGGTTACAGTAATAAAGCTAAACACGGTAATAAATAAAAGTATGAATGAGATTTGAAGTAAGAGGGATATTATATGACTTCTAAATCTGACACCTTAATGCATTTTGTCCTTTATTTGTGCATAAAAATTGAATGAATGGGGAATGATGCAATACAAAAATGGGAGAGCGAAGCCAAGTTCTGTTTCTTTTTTTAATGGAAAATCAACAGGATTTTGTAATAACCTTCCAATCAGTTTAGAAATGTGGTCACCTAGTTGTTCTGATGTTGAAGTGCTGAAGTTAAATTGACTTGTTAGCGTAAAGAAAATGCGTTCAGTTCAGTCAGCTTGACATTAATTAAGGTGGTTTGTTATAGAGACACTGATCATGCACTTATGGTAATCTGGAGTAAATAAAAATGTTTACATGTAAAATTAAAGAAGACATTTGTCAACAAAAAGAAGATATTTCTTAAAAGGGAAGGCCATTCTCAAGGTGGTACAATAACAACTTCATTAACTTGCAGGAAGCATTGATAAGTAATTCAGGAGAAGGAAACCCGGGTAATTAAATATCCAAAAAGCAAAACCCCTGATCCGCAAGATTTTGATGTGTAAAGACAAAAAAACGCTGCTTTTTTGCTGACTCACTACAAACTATGCAAGCCTGACCTTCCCTCACCTCAACCTGCCATTCATGATATTTATACCTGTTTGTTTTTTTGTCCCACTTTGGCAATTTAATGACCCCAACTCTAACTATAAAGCATACAAAGTAACTACAGTACAAAATATAATAAATGTTAAAATGTTAAAGTGCTTAATCTGCTTTTTAAAACAGAAAATAAATGCAGAACTCTGACGACATTTAGCTGTAATGTGTAATATGCTGAGATCGAATGATTTGTAGTTGACGGTCATGATTTCATCTGCTCTAAACCCTGTTGCTCCATACCTGTCCACTGCTTTACCTCAGTTTTCCCCCATAAGTCGTCACCTGCTTCCTTCGCCCTTGTTTTCATCAGACTCAGGCTGTGCAATCTTTAGCCTCAACTCACCTCCTCAGTACCTTAACTTTCCAGCTCAGTTGTGTGTGTGTGTGTGACCTCTTGCCTGTTTTTTTTATTTACATTTGCTTGTTTTAGCCGCTGTTTTACCTTCGCAGTAACAGCTGAATTATCGATCTTACTCCGCATAAAGAATGCTTTTGGCCCTCATTATTTGTCTTGCGAGTGTGCATTTGCTCAAATGTCGATCTGTGCCGATGACACATCTGTGCTCAATCCACAGGTTGACATTTACTGTGTGCATTATTTATACAAAAACAGGGTTGATTTTTATTTGTCTCCTGCATTGTTTCTATTCTGTATCTATAGCAGAGACACCAGACAGCAACAACAATGAGCAATACACTCATGTATTTACATTTGTGGTAGTAAATTTGAGTACTGAGTGCTATTAACTGGTAATAGTCAGTATTTTTAGATGATATTTGTGTAGTTGTAGGATTCTTGTGACCAACTGCATGTCCGACACAGATTAAAGTCCACTAACTCCTGACAGTGTGAAATCACAGCAGATAAGCTCATCACTCATGATCGTTGTCCTGAAACCTGCAGAGAACAGCATTAGCAAGACATCGAAGGTCAGATCTGCGCACAAAAATGTCTTTGTTGTCTGTGTAGAAGCAGAAGTGTTAAGTTGTGTGTAACGCTAGGCTTTGTTTTTAGGTCTGTTGCATCATATAAACACATACTCTTCAGATGTACCTATAAAAAAAAAAAAAAACAGTATTCACCCCCCTTGGAAGTTTTCCTCTCTTCAAGACTCTTTTATGTCAAAGTGACAACAGATTACTACAAAGTAATAATTAAACATATAAAATGTGAGATCAGGTATTACAAGTGTATTTAACCCCTTTAAAGTGACTCACTTAGTTCAGGTGCTGCCAGTTGGTGCAAGAAGTCGCATAATTTGTCACAGCCAAGGGCGGATCTAGAGAAATATTAATGGGGTGGCAAAGGGGTGGCATATAGATTTTAGGGGGTGGCATACGTGTGTGTGTGTATATTTAACTTAATCCTCATTAGGATCGCGGCACAGGGGTGGGTGACAGCAGGGGACATCTGGATAAGTAACCAGGCTATCACTGGGCTACATTTAGAGACAGAAAGTTACTCTCATATTCACATTTATGGACAATTTAGAATCACCAATAAACTTCATTAAATAAAAAAAAAAAAAACATTATTTCTTTAAACCAAATCTTCAGACACTTTTGCACGTTCCAATCAGCAGGAGTCATCAAATTGACACAAACACTGCTGAAATAAATGTTACATACCTAAATATCATTGTTATTTGTCTGGCAGTTCTGAACATGAGTTGTTTATTAGCTGTTGATCACAAGCCAGACTTCAGGGCAATAGTTGTCGGATGGAAATGCTTTTAACATTTGATTTTTCAACAATACACGTAAAACAATAACATGGTGTGAACCATATCTTTCTGGCAAAATAGAACAAGGATATACATGCCATATTCATGACTTACATCAGTGAGCAAAGCCAGTGCAGCGTACATACGACGTGGATCTACAAGAGCTGAATACGGCGATTAGTGTGTTGTTCTGCCAAACGCCGGACAATCTTATTTAGAGACAAAGTTTTGCTGCAGTTTTACTGCTATATTTACATTCTCATAGTTTAAACGTAGAAACTCAAGCCAGTCCAGTTGTTACGATTACACTACGAGAATAATCATGACCTGGAGGACTGAGGATCTTTACAGACATGTATTTGCATTGTTTGAGTGAATGTGGGATTTCTTTTGACTTAAAGCCTGTTTTCAGAGCCACAGGTTATAATCCCCCCACTTATATGATCTGACAACTATTTTTTCACTTTAACCAACTATATTAACATTTTGGCCTCAAAAACACAAAAAAATACAAAATCCAATTAGAAAAAATGTATTATTTATTAATAAAAACCACAAACATGCTTATGGAAGCATTTTGAAGGTTGAAGATGTCACCATAGGAGGCAGATATGAATTTGAAAAAGTAAACAACAGTAGACAAAGCAGGTGTGGCTTTCTTTCTGTTTCTATCTGTGCCACTCCTGAACATAGTTTTGCTCCAACATAAGGCAGACAAACACATTATAGGACGTACACTTCCACAAACGTCTCTCACTTTCGTTTTGTCCGTCACAACACGTGACGGCGATGTCGAGGCCTGCACGCGCGTTCATAACATCATATCTCCGGTTTTATGTGGTCTATCGACATGAAACAAAACCTGACAGAGAGTCTAAAGTCGGCGTGTTGTGTACATGTATGCTACTGTGTGGTCTCACCCAGTCTACCTGCTGTCTGACCGTCACGTCTTGCTGGCCGCACCTGTCGTCCACCTGAGCGAGGTCGACTTGATCAGGGCTGATGTCAGCTGCTATGTGAAAGTAGTAGAACCGGTATGTCTTCATGGTGCATTCACAAGCAATCCGAGTTTCACTATCTGGACTTTCGCTTTTTCCAGCCGGCCACAAACTTTGTGTGGGATGATCTATGTTCTCTGAGCATATCTGTGTAGAATTTGTGAACTTTAGATTTTTAGAATTTGAGTAATAACTCACCAACAGTTACACTTGCAGAAGAAGGGAATTAAACCTCTTAACACACAACAAATGGCCTACCCGTATAACAACTAACCTACAGCCTCTCCATTGACACGTGATGCTTTCAGGGTTTTCCCTTCAAATTATCTCAAAACAATGAATACACTTTGGTTAAATGTTAAGACATTTATTTACATCTTGTAAATCAATATTTTCATACATTTTCATATGTATTTCATACATATATTTGAATTAAATCGTTCAGAACTGGGGTAGCAAGGCATCTTCTAGGGGTGGCAGATGTGACTGTCACAGCGGGGGATCGGGGAGAAAGAACTGAGAGAAAACCTAAGAAATCTTAAGATAAAAACTAAGCCAGGCCGCTGCTTCAGCTCACCTGGTTGAGCTGGTGACCCAGGTACAGGGGCTATAGTCCCCAATGCTGCAGCCATGGATTTGAATCCCACTCATGGCCCTTTGCTGCAACTCCTTCCCCCATTCTCCTTCCCTACTTTCATGGCTTTCTCATGACTGTCCTAATAAAGGCAAAAAAGCTCAAAAAAAAAAATAGAAACTAAAAAAAAAAAAACAAAAAAAAAAAACTAAGTTAAACCAACAATGGGGATTCAAAGAGAGATTCAAAGGGCTTTATTGTCATTTCAGCCACATACAATCTATGCAAAGGAAATAAAATAAGACAAAAAATAGAATAAAATAAAAATAGAAATATGCAATCAGTAGTACAATATAAAAAACAGGCAGTTCAAACGTACAATTTAAACACGGCAAACAAAACAACACAACACAGACAATGACAACATAATGGAGGTAGTGTGTGTGTGTTAGTCCAGTCCTTGAATGTTTGACAGTCTTATTGCTTGAGGGATGAAGCTGTTGCACAGTCGGGCCGTGTGGGCCCGCACGCCTCTGAACCTCCTGCCAGACGGCAAGAGTGTAAAGAGTTTGTGGGGTCCTTCACAATGCTGGTGGCTTTTGGGGTGCAGCGTGTGGTGTAGATGTCCTTGATGGAGGGGAGAGACACTCCAATGATTTTTTTCTGCTGTTCTCACTACCCTCTGGAGGATCTTGTGGTCCGAGACAGTGCAGTTTCTAAACCAGGTGGTGATGCAGCTGCTCAGGATGTTCTCAGTCGTCCCTCTGTAGAATAGTGTCAGTATGGGGGGTGGGAGGTGGGCTTGTCTCAGCCTCCGCAAGAAGTTAAGGCGCTGCTGGGCTTTCTTTGCTATGGAGCTGGTGTTGAGGGACCAAGTGAGGGACTCCGCCAGGTGGACACCAAGGAATTTGGTGCTCTGGACGATCTCCACAGTGGAGCCATCGATGCTCAGTGGAGCATGCTCCCTTTGTCCACTCCTGAAGTCCACAACCATCTCTTTAGTCTTGTCCACATTCAGAGACAGGTTGTTGACTTGGTACAGTCTGTTAGCTGCTGCACCTCCTCTCTGTAGGCCGACTCGTCGTCCCTGCTGATGAGACCCACCACGGTCGTGTCATCAGCGAACTTTACGATGTAGTTCAAACTGTGCATCGCTGCACAGTCGTGAGTCAGCAGAGTGAACAGCATTGGACTGAGCACACAGCCCTGGGGGGCCCCGTGCTCAGTGTGGTGGTGCTGGAAGTGCTGCTCCCGATCCGGACTGACTGGGGTCTATCAGTCAGGAAGTCGAGGATCCAGTTGCAGAGGGAGGTGTTCAGGCCCAGCAGGCTGAGCTTTCTAATCAGGTGCTGGGGGACGATTGTGTTGAATGCTGAGCTGAAGTCTACGAACAGCATTGTGATGTGGGTGTCTTTGTTGTCCAGGTGGGTGAGGGCCAGATGGAGGGCGTTGTCTGTGGAGCAGTTGGGACGATATGCGAATTACAAGGGATCTAGTGAGGGGGGCAGCAGGATCTTAATGTGCCTCAAGACGAGCCTCTCGAAGCGCTTCATTGTGATGGGTGTGAATGCAACGGGGCGACAGTCATTCCGGCAGGACACTGACGACTTCTTTGGCATGGGGATTGATGGTGGTGGCTTTGAAGCACGTTGGAACAATGGAGGTGCTTAGGGAGGTGTTGAAGACGTCTGTGAGAACATCCACCAGCTGATCTGCACACTCCCTGAGCACTTTGCCAGGAATGTTGACTCTGTGAAGCGTATTCCTCACGTCGGCCGTGGTGACACACAGCACCTGGTCGTCGGGGGGAGGGTTGGTCTTCCTCGCCGACTCATCATTCTGTGCTTCAAAGCGAGTGTAGAAGTCGTTCAGCGCATCCAGCAGGGAGGCGTCGTCGTCGGGGATGTTGTCCTGGAGTTGGTGACGGCCTGGATGCCCTGCCACATGTGCCGAGTGTCACCTCTGTCCCTGAAGTGGCTGTGGATTTTCTGGCCATGTGCACTTCTCTGATGGCTCAGGGCAGTGGCAAAACAGGGTACTAAAGCAGAAGGAGGGGGGCAGCAGACACGCTCAGGGAATGCAGGCTGGAAACAGGTTGGGGGACCAGTGGCTGGAGACGGCTGGCTGAAGGGAGGATCCAGGTGGAGATAGAATAGCTGATACAAGGGGTCGGGCTCAGGTTGCAGTGGCTCTGAGATGGCAGGCAGGAGACAGAACGGGGACCGGCAGACGCACAGGGAATGAAAGTCTATGGCAGGGGTGTCGACCTGCGGTCCTCGAGGGCCGCAATCCTGCATGTTTTAGATGTTTCTCTCTTCCAACACACCTGATTCAAATGATCAGCTCATCATCAAGCTCTGCAGAAGTCTGATAACGATCCTGATCATTTGAATCAGGTGTGTTGGAAGAAGGAAAACATCTAAAACATGCAGGACTGTGGCCCTCGAGGACCGGATGTCGACACCCCTGGTCTATGGTCTGGCAGGGGGTGGTGGAATGAGCTGGTTTTTTAAAGGAGCTGTGGTGATTAGGCTCAGGTGAGCTGTAATCAGGTGAGCTGTAATCAGGGAGGCTGCGAGGGAGAGCAAAGGAGGAGAGAGAGAGGTAGAGAGGAGGAAGAAGAGAGGGAGAGAGAGAAAAAGAGGGAGACAGACAAGGGCTGAGGCTGGGGGGGTCATAACATAATTAGTGAAATGGAGATTATCTGAGTGCAGTGAATTGTAGTATGAAGACACTTGTATGTGGAAGGTCCAGTCACTGGTGCATTAGTAACCATGGATATAACTACATCATGAAGACAAAAGAACACTCCAAGCAGCGATGTAAAAAGGTTACTGAAAAGCATATGTGTGCACGAATATTGCTTGGGATACAGTTAAATCCATCATTAAGAAATGGAAATGGAAGGAATATGGCACATGTGTAAATCTGCCTGGAGCAGGCCGTCCTCAAAAACCGAGTGACCGATCAAGAAAGAGACAAGAAAGGAAGATTCCCAAGACACCTATGACTCCTCTGAAGGAGTTACAAGCTATAGTGGCTGAGATGGGAGAGATTGTGCATATAGCAACTGTTGCCTGTTCTTCACCAGTCGAAGCTTTATGGGACAGTGGCAAAGAGAAAGACACTGTTGAAAAAAGGTCACTTTAAATCCGGGGTGTCCAATCCTGGTCCTCGAGAGCTACAATCCTGCATGTTTTAGATGTTTCCATCTTCCAACACACCTGATGGAAGAGGGAAACATCTAAAAAATGCAGGACTGTGGCCCTCGAGGACCAGGATTGGACACCCCTGCTTTAAATCATAACTAGAGTTCACCAGAATGCACGTGGGACTCTAAAGTCAACTGAAAGAAGATTTCTTTTTTATTTTTTTGGTCTGATGAGACCAAAATTGAGCTTAAAACCAGATGTGAAACACTGCACATAATCACTGCCCACTATTGAAGCACGGTGGGGGCAGCATCATCATGTGGGGATGCTTTCCTCGGCAGCAGGCCCTGGAGGGCTTTCAAAGGTGAATCCTGGAGGACAACCTGATGCAGGCTGCAAGAATAAAGGGGTGAACATTTTGTTTTTCAACCGAAAGCATACAGCCAAAGCTACACAGAAATAATTTGTGGACAACAAAGGTGTTCTGGAGCAGCCGAGTCAGAGCCGAGACCTCAGTGGAGTTGAGAATTTGTGGCTGGACTTGAAAAGGGCTGTTCGCTCACAACCTCCATGACCTGACAGAGTTTGAGCAGAAAAATGGTGTAAAAAATGTCCATGTCCAGATGTGCACATCCACACAGGCTCAATGCTGTGGCCAAAGGTGAATCTACTAAACACCTGCTGAAAACATGGGGAATACTTATACAAATTTCATAGTTTTAATTAACTGACATTACCCTGTAGAAATGTTTTCACTGTGATAGTCTTTCTTTGTCAATTCTTGCCAAACGATTGACCACGATTCAGTGTCGAGGGAGAATTTCTGAGGGACGTTTTATATGAACTGTAGGTAAAGTACACAAAACCTGCTAATTAAATCAAGTGTGTCTCATTTTTTTATCTTCAAAGTAATTAGGTTTTTAATTTCACCTTATCTTACTTCCAGCTGTTCTTGTTTTAGTTAATTCACTTTGTCTCGAAGCTTAATTGCTCCACTGATTCTTCATGGTTTTATTTCATTGCATTTCTTCTTTGCCTTCCGTTTATTTGCTCGGTCATACTGTAAACGGCGCCTCGACATCAGTTTAAACTGTTTGCATTCGACTGAGAGGTAAAGGTGGAGTTAACTTGATTATCGGTCACCTTGATTCCCACGTTAACACTCTTCATCAGGCTGAAAAGAGACACTTTCCATAAAAATATATCTAGCTTC